TATATTAGGTGAACTATAAATCCCAGCAACTACAATTACTAAATGTCAAAGTCTATTTTCCCCAAACTCCACCAGTGTTCATATTTGGGCATATAATGAGTATCCATGCCAAGTTTGGTCCAGATCCATCATTGTTTGAGTCCACAGTGATCTCTGGACGTAGGTGAACTACAACTCCCAAACTCAAGGTCAATGCTCACCAAACCCTTCCAGTATTCCAATATTATGTGAGTTCTGTGTGCCAAACTTGGTTCAACGCCCATCGTTGGTGGAGTTCAGAATGCTCTTTGATGGTAGGTGAACTATACATCCCAGCAACTACAACTCCCAAATGACAAAATCAATCCCTCCCAACCCCACCAGTATTCAAATTTGGGTGCATTAGGTATTTCGTCCAGTGAGTGAAAATATATCCTGTGTATCATATATTAACATGACAATTGATAACAGGAGCAAAATTACAGTTGTGAAGTAGCAACGAAAATAATGTTATGGTTGAGGGTCAGCACAACATGAGGAACTGTATTAAGGAGGTTGAGAAACACCTTTTGAACTGGCCACTAACTTTGACTCTTCTCCGCCAGGCTCACCTGAAGGCCTTCAAACTGGAAACACGGGCAATTTAATCTTTGACCTTTTGCCCAGCCACTAACCCCTGACCCTCCAAAAAAGGCCCAGCCTTGGTCCACTTCCTTGCCCCCGCTGAGCACATAAAGATTTAATAAGGAGCCCCGCAAGAGATAAGAAAGAACTCAAAACTTCCCGTCGTCGCCTGCAAGGGACAATACCAAGACCTCTGCCCTTTTGGCCTTGTTGCCCAATTGTGGTGGTTTTGGTACCACGTTATGGTATCCGTCCTATGGGCATTTATGACTGGAAGTTTGGGGAGATGCATAAATGTCACCTGAATTATATTCATTATTATGTTTTATTTGTATTATTATGTGAGACGTATTATTTTTGTTATTTGTTATTTTTAATATATTATATGTAATATACCTTAGTACAGCATTTCTCAACCTGGAGGTCGGGATGCCCGGGGGGGGGGGGGGGGGGGGGGGGGGGGGGGGGGGGGGGGGGGGTCATGAGCAGGTTTCAGAGGGGTCACCAAAGACCATTAGGAAACACATATTTCTGATAGATAATAATTTTGGGATAGATAGATAGATAGATAGATAGATAGATAGATAGATAGATAGATAGATAGATAGATAATAGAAGTATTAAAGATAGATTAGCTGGATAGATGGCTGGCTGGCTGGTTGGATGGATGGATGGATGGATGGATGGATGGATGGATGGAGAGGTAGACAAATGGATGGATAGATAGATAGATAGATAGATAGATAGATAGATAGATAGATAGATAGGGTAGATGGATGGATGGATAGATGGAGAGGGAGACAGTCAGACAGACAGATAGATATATAGATAGATATTTAGATAGAGAGGGTGGATGGATGGATGGAGAGGTAGACAGAGAGACAAATAGATAGATAGATAGGGTAGATGGATGGATGGATAGATGGATGGATGGATAGATGGATAGATAGATAGATAGATAGATAGATAGATAGATATTAGTATTATATTGTATTACAATATTTTGATCAGTATTATATGTACATGCAATATATTATATTATTAGCATAGCACAATATTAGTATTATATATTACTATATTGTATTATACCACTATACTGCAATATTATTAGTAATATTACATGTAATATATAATTATTATATTGTATTACTATATTGTATTGCATTACAATATTAGTATTATATATTACTATATTGTACTATGCCACTATGATGCAGTATTGTTAGTAATATTACATGTAATATATAATATATAATTATTATATTGTATTATTAATTGTATTGTATTCCAATATTATGATCAATATTATATGTACGCACATTGTATTACAATATTAGCACAGCACAATATTAGTATTAAATATTACTATATTCTACTATACCACTATGATGCAGTATTGTTAGTAATATTACATGTAATATATAATGTATAATTATTATATTGTATTACTATTAGTATTATATTGTATTACAATATAATATGTATGCACATTGTATTATATTATTAGCACAGCACAATATTAGTATTATATATTGCTATATTGTACTATACCACTATACTCCAGTATTATTAGTAATATTACATGTAATATATAATATATAATTATTATATTATATTATTAGTATTGTATTTCAATATTATGATCAATATTATATGTACGCACATTATATTATATTATTAGCACAGCACAATATTAGCATTATATATTACTATATTGTACTATACCACTATGCTGCAATATTATTAGTAATATTACATGCAATATATAATATATAATTATTATAGCAATTATAGTAATATTAGTAATATTACATGCAATATATAATTTATTATTATTATATTGGACTAGTCGTCCCCTGCAACGCGTTGCTGTGGTCCAGTCTGTGTGTATGTGTTTTGTGTGTATATATATGTGGTTTTGCGCATGCATTGTAATATATATTTTTATTTTTTGGCTTTTTAAGTCTCTTCTGCTGTGTATTTTTATGAGTGGTGGTGTATTGTGATAGGTGTATTGTGTCCAAATTTGGTGTCAATTCACCCAGTCATTTTTGAGTTATGTTAATCCCACAAACGAACATTACATTTTTATTTATATAGATTATTATTAGTATTATTATATTGTATTACAAGATTATGATCAATATTATATGTAGAATTCCCCAGGTTGTTCAGCCACCAGTCAGGAACTATGGGATCTGAAATCCAAAACACCTGAAGAACCAATGTTTGGGGAGCATGCGTAGGTATGGATCCCGCTGGAGATACAAGGCCCAGCCTTCATGTAACCATGAACTCCCTATTCCCTCTCTGCTCTTGAGCGCGACCACACGGACCCACATTGTGGCATATTTCAGCACTTCCCTGGGTTTTCTAGACGTGGTTTGGTCAAATTCGGCCTGGTTTTGGGGCTTTGTGTGGCTCTCCCTTGAGAACAATGCGCCCGAGTCATGTGAGGACCCTGCGCGGTGAGTCACGGCTTTGAAGGCAAGACGGCACAGGAAGCCAGGAACTAGGCAGCGGTGCTTTGATCTAGAGACCAAGCGTTTGCCAATGACAGAGGACATAATGGGCTGGTTCTTCTTCCGCATGGAGCACCTCTGTTCCCATGATCCCCACGCATACCATATGTGCAATTTCACAGAGACCATGAAAGAGAAAACCTGGGAACACGAAAAGATGCTTAGTGGGACGGAGTCTAGAGGACTCCCAGACCTCAAAAAGGAACCTAGAGGGAAAGGGATTTGTGGAGGATGACCATGGCAAGACTCCTTGAAGGCATCTAGGAGTCTTTGTAGACCACAAAAAAACTAGTCTAGGCTGCAGCAATAGGAAGATAGCATCTAGGTGGAGGGAAGTCATTGTCTCACTCTATTCTGATCCCTTGCAATTATTCTGTGTCCAGTTCTCAATTCCAGAAGGAGGTGGACAAGATGGAAAAGTGTCCTTAGAAGGGCAGCCAAAATGGTCCAAGGCCTGGAAACTCTGAATCCCTCAGAGAAGCAGCTTATGGAGTTAGGTACGTTTAGCTTAGAGAAAAGAAGATTGGGACGGGACGTGATAGCCGGAGTTAAACATTGGAAAGGATGTCACGTTGAGGAGGGAGAAAGCTTGCTTTCTGGGACCCAATAAGAAGAACATCCTGATAGTAAGAGCTGCTTGAGCATAGACTATTCTGCCTGGAAGTAAGTAGAGTCTCCTTCTGTAGAGTGTTTTGAGCAGATGGCTATTTTTCAGGAAGGCTTGGATGGTGCTTTCCTGCCTGGCAGAAGAGTGTGGGACTAGATGCCCCTTAAGGTCCTTTCCAACTATAGGATTCTGGCTGATGGAAGACAGATATAGATACATCAATACATAGAGAGGGTTGGACTTGATGGCCCTTGGGGAGTCTATTCCAAGTCTAGCATTCATAGATTGACAGACAGACAGATAGAGATGGATGGATTGATGGATGAATCTATAGATATATATCCAGAAAGGGGTGAAGGGTGAATCTATAGATATATATACAGTTAGAGAGAGAGAGAGAGATGCATCTATAGATATACTATATATCCAGATAGAGAGGGGGAGATGAATCTATAGATATATATCCAGATAGACAGACAGACAGACACAGAGAGATACATACATACAGGTGGTTGGCCCTTGAGGTCTCTTCCAACTCTAGCATTCATAGATAGATAGATAGATAGATAGATAGATAGATAGATAGATAGATAGATAGATAGTGTGTGAGTGTGTGTGCGGATAGACAGGTAGATAGACAAAGATGCATACATACATATAGGTGGTTGGACTGGATTGGGGTCTCTTTTAACTCTAGCATTCAGAGAGAGAGAGAAAGAGAGAGAGGAAGGATGGATGGATAGATCTATAGATATATATCCAAATAGGTAGGTAGGTAGACAGACAGACAGACAGACAGACACAGAGATGTGTACATACATATAGGTGGCTGAACTGGATGGCATTCATAGATAGATAGATAGATAGATAGATAGATAGATAGATAGATAGATGATAGGTAGGTAGGTAGATAAACAGAAACACAGAGAGATGCATACATACATACAGATGGTTAGACTGGATGGCCCTTGGGGTCTCTTCCAACTCTTGTTTTCATTCATAGATAGATAGAGGTAGAGGTAGAGATGGATAACATACATACAGGTGGTTGGACCAGGTGGCCCTTGGGGTCTCTTCCAACTCCAGGATTTTATGATTTCCTATTCTAGCGACAGAGAAAACAAGGCCTTGCTCCTCTTAAGATGCCTCCCATCTCAAATTCCAAAATACACAGGCTTGGAAAAGATATGACAAGGACAACCACGCTCTATGGCTGTCATTAGGAGACCGAATGTTTTAGCAGGAGAGAAGAAAATGGGGCCTCTTACCTGCAGCAGCTTCCCTTCAGCCGGGGTGACCTCGGCCACGCCGGCGAAGACCCCTTCCAGGGTGAGGGGCTCCAGCTTGAGTGGGACCACGCGGATGAGGGCCTTCTGGGCCAGGGAGGACCGCTCGGGCTCCATGGCCGCCGCCAGGGCCTGTCCCGAGTAGCCCAGCTGCCCTTGCAGCGTGAAGCACAACAAGAAGAAGGAGAGCCAAGGCCAGAGGACTGCCAGCTGTAGCTGGGGGCCAGCACTCATACTCCCAGCTGCAGCGGTGCGCTCTGGCCGCACATAGTGAGTGCTCAGGAATGTCTCCGAGGTTCAGAAGCCCTCAGCTTTGGGTTCCTTCATGCCACGTGTGGTGAGTCGCTCAGGGCCTTGGGCTTCCCAAGGTGAGCTCCAAGTGCCCTGAACGGGGTCCTCTTCCAAAGGAGTGGCCCAAACCACGGGGGCATGAATGCCACAATGAGGAAAGACGCCTTGAATCCTTCTAAGAGTGTCAAAAGGTGGGCTGGGAATGAGACCGCTCCCCATCGAAGACAGTCCGACCCGTCGAGGCGCTTAATGACCCCACATCAAGTGGCCTGAGGAGCCTTGGTTGACTTCTGGCCCACTGCTTGTCTCTTGGATGCGATTCCGTCGAGTCTAACTCCTTTCAACATTCAAAGAAGTCTTCCATGTAAACATTGGAACCTCCAACCCATTTCGGTTCAATTGTCATTTGTGTCTTCTTGATGTATCCAGCACTGACTTCTCATTTTCCGAGCTTGGGATCTTCAGTGACTTTTTAATAGCGTGTCGGCAGCTCACATAGGGAAAAATACAGTTCTCGGATGATTCTTTCAGATCTTGGTTGACTTTTTAATAGCGTGTCGGCAGCTCACATAGGAAAAAATACAGTTCTTGGATTATTTTTTCGGATCCTCACTGACTTTTTAATAGCGTGTCAGCAGCTCACATAGGAAAAAATATAGTTCTCAGATTATTCCTTCGGATCTTGGTTGACTTTTTAATAGCGTGTCTGCAGTTCACATAGGAAAAAATATAGTTCTCGGATGATTCTTTTGGATCTTGATTGACTTTTTAATAGCGTGTCGGCAGCTCACATAGGAAAAAATATAGTTCTCAGATGAATTTTCGGATCTTCATTGAACCTCTTAATAGTGTGTTGGCAGCTCACATAGAAAAACGATTTTTTTTCCACTGTTCGAAAGTTTTCAAAAAGCTCCGAAACAGGAAAAACAACTGCAAACAGACACCTGTGTGTGTGTATGCGTGTGTGCTTTTTATTCCATGCCTGTGCAAGCCGTCGGAATTAATATATCCTCTTTGAGACATGCCCTAGTGAAAACAAGAGACGAAGACATCCGAGACAATAAAAAAGAAATATGCTCCGCAGGAAATCTTGGTGACCGTAGAAAGGTCGCAGGCATCAATCGAGAAAAGGAAAAGCAAGTCTGGAGCCACATGCAAAGCTGGTATGGAGGAATCAATCCGCAGGGAATAAGTAACAGCTGGAAACTTTACTACGGACACACAAAAAAGGCTACTGTTGCGTCCGGCTGAAATGTGCACTGGATCTTACCCGCAGCATACAGGTAAATGTGAAATTCCTCTGTCTGGATCCAAAGGAAAAAGTGACTCTGGCTGGTTGGCTGGCGAGCGAGGCGTGGCTGAGACCCAACTTCCAAAAAAGCAGCCTAAAAAAAGACTGGCTAGAACTTTGCTGAAAACTCCTCCTGAGGCCGAGCAGATCCGAGGAAGTCTGCGTGTCGAAAAAGAGCCCAAAGGGAGCCAGAAAGGACTCCAAGCCTTAAGGAGAGGTGGTGGAGTGGACTTGGGAAAAAGGTTTCTTTCCAGGAGAGGGAAGAAAAGCACGGCTGGATCAAGGAGAAGGGGAAAGAAAGGAAGGAAGGAAGGGAAAAGAGCCCTGTGGTTTGCCGCTTGTGCTCTCCGCCTGCCTCCTTCCCTCCTCCCTCCCTTGGGACGTCCGAGGCTTTCTACCTGCTGAGCTCTGCTGACACAAAGTGAGGGTGGAGCAGCCCAAGGCAACCGCAGCAACCCCACCCCCTGAAAAGGCGCTCTGAGACTCCCTCTCCTGAGCCACCACCAAACTGCATTCGGCCTGGAAGCATCCACAGGCAGGTCTCCTTGGAGCTCCTTCTGAGATGGGACCTGGCCAAAGGGAGATGTTGGGCCGGCTCTCTTGGTTCGCAAAGGCGGACCTTCTGGCCTTCTCGGCAATCTTGGGCAGAAGAAGAATCGACTCCATCCATAACTTTTGTTTGGTAGGCTGTTTTTCTCCGCAAGGATAATTCCAGGTCACCCTGATGTCAGAGCCCTGGCATCCCATCATTATCCTCCTCTGACGTCACCTGGGGCCGAGGTGAGTCACGCCATACATTCGATGGGCAACTTCAAAGGGAAGCCGGACCTTGCGAAGGCAGGATTGCTCGAAAGTGGAAAGTCTAGCTGTGTCCAGATCCAGCTTGGCAAGGCATTTCCAAAGAAAACTTAGCATGGAGATGGCTTCATAAACTCCACCAAATCCAAACATTCAGCCAGTTTCATCCCTTGTTTAGGAGAGGAGAGAGAATTTTTTTTTTTAAAAAAAAGGAGAGGACATGAGAGGAGCCTCCCACAGTAAAACATCAATCATCCGGGCGTCCTCTGGGCAACATCCTTGCAGACGGCTAATTCTCACCCACAGAAGTGACTTATAGTTTCTCAAACTCTAGCTTCTCTTTTTTTTCCGTGTCAAGAGCAACTTGAGAAGCTGCAAGCTTCTCATGCGGAGACATGAGAGAAGTCTCCACAGGATGGTAAAACATCAATCATCTGGGCGTCCTCTGGGCAACGTCCTTACAGGCTGCTAATTCTCTTCCACAGAAGCAACTTGTAGTTTCTCAGACTCTAGCTTCTCTTTTTTTTCCGTGTCAAGAGCAACTTGAGAAGCTGCAAGGGGACATGAGAGAAGTCTCCCACAGGATGGTAAAACATCAATCATCCGGGCATCCTCTGGGCAACATCCTTGAAGACAGCCAATTCTCTCACCAGAAGCGACTTGTAGTTTCTCTCACCAGAAGTGACTTGTAGTTTCTCGAGCTCTAGCTTCTCTTTTTTTTCCGTGTCAAGAGCAACTTGAGAAGCTGCAAGGGGACATGAGAGAAGTCTCCCACAGGATGGTAAAACATCAATCATCCGGTTGTCCCCTGGGCAACGTCCTTGCAGGCGGCCAATTCTCTCACAGCATAAGTGACTTGTAGTTTCTCAAGCTCTAGCTTCTCTTTTTTTTCCGTGTCAAGAGCAACTTAACGAACAGCAAGCTTCTCGTGCGAGGACATGAAAGAAGCGTCCCACAGGATGGTGAAACAGCAATCATCCGGACATCCCCTGGGCAACATCCTTGCAGACAGTCAATTCTCTCACATTGGAAGCAACTTGCAGTTTCTTGAGCTCCAGCTTCTCATGTGGGGACATAAGAGAAGCCTTCCACAGGATGGTAAACATCAATCATCCGGGCGTCCCCTGGGCAACATCCTTGCAGACAGCCAATTCGCTCACAGCAGAAGCGACTTGTAATTTCTCAAGCTCTAGCTTCTTCTTTTTTCCATGTCAGGAGCAACTTGAGAAACTGCAAACTTATCATGTGGGGACACAGGATGGTAAAACATAAATAATCCGGGCATCCCCTGGGCAACATCCTTGCATACAGCCAATTCTCTCACACCATAAGTGACTTGTAGTTTCTCGAGCTCTAGCTTCTCATTCGGGGACATGAGAGAAGCCCCCACAGAATGGGCCAAAGCTAGTGTTGTCCTGAGGAGTGAGTAGGCCGAAGCGTGTTAGAGTCAGTGGGCCAAAGCTAGTGAGGTAAACCTCTGTGTGAGAGAAGCCTTGTGTGAGAAAGCTCCATTGTGAAGTCTGCTGTGTGTAAAACTACTATGTATTTATTTATTTGTGTTATAGAAACCTTGTTATTGTAAATAGTCCAACCATATTATTTTACTACAAAGAAAAGCCTCCTATGCAAGAGAGAACATTGGTCTGTGTGTTTTTATCGCTTTGGGCTCCCGGTGCTGGGTCACACTGCTGCTGCTGATAACTTACTCTGCAGTACATTTATGAGGAGGGTCTTTTGTTAATAAGCCCACTCACCCAACACACTGCACATGGAATTCGCCACTGAATACAAAATTCAGCTCTTTTATTCCCCTCAACAAACTAGCCAAAGAGCAAGCTTATTTGGACTACTCCATTTATTGTTTTACTGGCCAAACACATTGGGGCTGAAACTGTGGAAATGTCACGAAGGCTGCTTTGGAGAGACAGACCTGAGAGTGTTATCCATTTCATAGAAGTGGCTACAGATTTCTTTAGAGACTACATGCATCCTTTTTCCTCCAAATGCTGACTGAGCCTAGGAATATTGCAGGAAATGCAATCCTGAATCTCTCTCTCTCTTTTGATCATTACCATTCCCAGTCCCATCTGAGCCTTAAAATGGAATTTATCAAGGTCAAAGAAACGAATCGCGGATCTGTTCTCGCTGGGTTTTTCTTCCTTTAAGGAATTCCCTTATATTTAAAAATCGGAGTGAATGAGCTTGAAGCACATTGCCAATCATCCACATATATTCTAGTGCAATATATATCCTTGTAACATAAATACATATATTTGGACTAAGACATATCCTTTAAAAATCCTTTGTCAATAAATACGAGAGAAGCCTTAACGTTTGCATTAAAGTGTCCCTAAAATAAGGAAAATATTAAAGGTTCAAAATATGCTATTCATTCAAAAACTCTGGCAAAGATGGGACAATATCTGCTGCTGAAAAGAAAGGGAAAAATTAAACTTCCTATGTAAATTTGGGGAGAATCTTGGGATAGCAGCTAGCTTTGCTTTTGTTGAAATCCTTCCTCCTTTGTAAAGTCCCCAGAGTGTGCAAAATAAGGACCATTCTGAATCTGGGACCATGAAAAATCCATCCAAGAGCCCAGGTGGTCTGCCATTAAGAACTTTGGGCAAATAAATTATAACATCCGGACAAACTGATCGGTAAAAGAACTTAGGAGCTACGCAAAAGGAAGAGGCGAAACAAGGGTGAGCCTATTTACACGTGAAACGGAATTGAGACGAGAAGGAGAAAGCTAAGTAAGGCACAACGGAAAGGACCCCCAAGTCCTCCTGGGGCAAGAGGCCCAAATGGCACTTGCACAGGTTCTCCTCACTCCCGCAGCTCTTCCTCCTTTGGGAAATGCTCTTGCTTGCAAGCCACGTCCACGAGAAGGTGAAGATCTAGGAAGAAAAAAGGGAAAGGACAGCTTACAGCAGTGTTTCTCAAGACCGGGGGGTCAGGACCCGGGGGGGGGGTTGAGAGGATGTGTCAGAGGGGTCACCAAATACCATCGGAAAACACAGTATTCTGTTGGTCATGGGAGTTCTGTGTGCCAGGTTGGGTTCAATTCCATTGTTGGTGGAGTTCAGAATGCTCTTTGATTGTAGGTAAACTATACATTCCAGCAACCAAATTTGGATCACAGAACTCATATGACCAACAGAAAATACTGGAAGGGTTTTATGGGCATTCTCCTTGAGTTTAGGAGTTGTAGTTCACCGATTTAGAGCATTGTGGACTCAAACAATGATGGATCTGGACCAAACTTGGCACGAATACTCAATATGCCCRAATGTGAACACTGGTGGAGTTTGAGGAAAATAGGCCTTGACATTTGGGAGTTGTAGTTGCTGGGATTTATAGTTCACCTACAATCAAAGAGCGTTCTGAACMGCACCAATGATAGAATTGGGCCAAACCTCCCACACAGAACCCCCATGCCTTGGAGAGACTCGCTGTCAAGAGCCTCCCTCCAGCCTCGCATGCTCTCCCTCACTCGTACATGCGTACCACGCTGTTATGTACCAAGMATGCCTGCTCTCCCCTCCCCACTTGGAGTTTCAGAAACAGCCCTCCCCTTGGCTGAGAGGCTGGTCAATCACAGCGGAGGAGGGCTTTGGGGAATCGCCGTCTGTTTCCAAAGAGGAAGAGAAGGGCATGYGGAGACATCTTCATCCTTCTATGCCAAAGGGGATCCTAAGAACATCAGAAATATATGTTTTCTTGTGGTATTTGGTGATCCCTCTGAACCCTCCTTGAGACCCCCCCTCCGGAGCTTYGACTCCCAGGTCGAGAAACGCTGTACTAAGCCCTTCTATTTCCCCCCAAAACCTGAAATTGCCCCTCAGAGGCAACTTGCTACTTCATTACACTAGAGAAAAAATCCACTTAAAATCCGGTTTCTGCCTCCTGCAGAATTCCGAAGTTTGTAGTTCAGTGAGGCTTTTTTTTTCTCTAGCGTGACAGTAGTTCTTTTTCTATGGGTTGACAACGCAGGAATTGTTTGATCGTGTCTTCCTGCCTGGCAGAAACGGGTTGGACTGAATTATCTCTTCCAACTCTTAAGATTCTATTAATCTGATCCACAGCCCCAAATCACCCCTTTAAGCCTGTACCTTACAAATAACCGACTCTGGGGTCCCGCCATTCTCACCAGGGGATTTGCCCTTCTGGGAGCTGCTCCTTCTTTCCCGGCATTTGTTTTGAATGGATGGAGCGGCGTCTTTGGCACACTTGCCCAGCGGATCCACCTCCGCAATGAGGAAACCGATTTGCTCCGAAGCCACCACCGTCTCGGGGGGGCTGGCCTGACACTTGATGCTGGGATCCTCCTGGCAAGAGGGGAGCAGAGCAGCATTCTCATTCTGACCACATACAATATTCACATTTAAGATTCTTTCAAAGGCTTAACTCCACAAAAGGTTATTTCTGTATCACAGTAGAGTCTCGCTTATTCGACCTTTGCTTATCCGACATTCCGTCTTATCTGATGTTCTTATCCAATGCCCCCCTTTTCTCCAGCATTTCCCCTCCAATTAAAGGCGCACTCCCCAACTCTCTCTCCATTCCCTATAAGTGAAAAAGGCAAGACGAGGGGGAGGGAAAGGGGGAAAAGAGGCAGTACTACAAGCGGAAGCATCCTCCTATACTCTGGGATTTCTACACTCCTCTTCCACATCTGGGCACTTCCTGCTGGGCCGCTCTAGCCCCGAGGCGTTGCCTTGCCTAAACCCTTTGAGTCTCTGTTGTTAGTATTCTAGCTCCGCATTGGATGGGTAACAGGAGGAGACTCCATATTATCCGACATTTCAGTTGATCCAACGTTCTGCAGGCCTGTTTATGTTGATAAGCAAGACTCTACTGTATGTGGATAGATAGACAGAGATAGAGTTGGACTGGATGGCCCTTGAGGTGTCTTCATCTATCAGGAAGTATTCAATTGTGCCTTTGTGGATGACCATCAATTGGGAGAGCTTGGATGGAGTCTTCATAGAAAAGCATCTGTTGAGAGGGCTTGGATGGTATTTTCATGGAAGATCATCAGTCGGGAGGGCTTGGATGGAGTCTTCATAGAAAAGCATCAGTTGGGAGGGCTTGGATGGTATTTTCATGGAAGATCATCAGTCGGGAGGGCTTGGATGACGTCTTAATGGACGATCTGCAGTCCAGCGGGTTTGGATGGTGTCTTCCTGGAAGACCATCAGTCAAGGGAGCTTGGGTGTTGTCTTCATGAAGGACCATCAGTGAGGAGGGCTTAGGTGGTGTCTTCATGGAAGAACATCAGTTGGGAGGGCTTGGATGATGTCTTCATCTATTGGGAAGCATTCGATGGTGCCTTTGTGGATGACGATCTGTCGGTATCTTCATCTGTTGGGAGGGCATGGCGCTTTCATGAATGGCCCTCTGTTGGGAGGATTTGGATGGTGTCTTCATCTCCTTTCCAAGCTAGCTCCCTCCTCTCTATGACTTCCCCTCACATATTTATACATGGCCATCATATCTCCTTTCAGCCTTCTCTTCTTCAGACATACCCGTGCAAAGTCTGAAGATCAAACCCCTACAGCAGTGGTTCTCAACCTGTGGGTCCCCAGATGTTTTGGCCTTTTAACTCCCAGAAATCCTATCAGCTGGTAAATTGGATGGGATTTCTGGGAGTTGTAGGCCAAAACATCTGGGGAACCACAGGTGGAGAACCACTGCCCTACAGATATGGAGCTCACAGTGTGTGTTTTGATTCTGGTTGAAAATATTGGCTTTTCAAAGAGAGACATTTCTTTCTTGAACATCCCTTTCCCCTTTACCTGGCTGAAGGTGAGCTCCTCCTGGACAAAGACGACAGCAGCCTGAGTGGGAGGCTGGCTGAGTGGATCCTTGAGCTTCACTGGCACTTGGACCATGGATCCCGGCTGCTGGACCATCTGTGCGGCTGCATTCTCCACCGACTCGGCAGTGTGGATGGTGTAGATGAACTGGGGCGACTGGGGCAGGGAGCAGGCGATGGCGTGGTCGGTCTCCACCACAAAGGAGGTGATGTCGGAACCCACGGGGGTCAGGGGCTCCAGGTGGCTGGCCTGGCCTGAGGAGGAGGAGGCAGAGGAGGCGGAGGAAGGGGCCTCGCTCCCGGCCCCGGTGGCGCTCACCAGCAAGGGCTGCCCGCGGCACGGAGGCACGGACGGACCTTGGCCCTCCACAGGCTCCACTTTGACCATCTCCAGCTTCGGGGAGGAGTGCATCTCGTCCACGATTTGGAAGACGGCCTCCAGGTTGACCTCGGTCTTCTTGGCTTCGTCGGAGGCGTTGCAGGACCAGTTGGAAGGCAGGAACTCCACGGGGTATGAAGACTGCAAGGAGGGATTCTGGAGTCGCGAAAGAGAAGGGAAATACGTTCTCAGAGGTGCATTATCTCACTGGATTGGGCCCCAACATGGATTCCAGCTGAGGACTCACCTGAAAATAGCTGCAGTGGGTGTAGGTCGAAGGCGTCGGGCTTCCACACCCACTCAGTGGATCCATGTGGGTCGACGGAGAGCAACACTGCAGTACGGCTGGAAGGGAAGGAGACAAAACAGAAACACTTGAGGATCATAGCTTTAGTGCCTTCTATAAGGATAAGTAAAGGTAAAGGTTTCCCCTGATATGAAGTCTAGTCGTGTCTGACTTTGGGGTTTAACCCACGGGGCCACCAGGGGGTCCTCCTATAAGAATAGCTACAAGTTAATCAAAGCTGTCCCACTGAAGAGCTCTGTTGTATGTCAGCCTGTTCAGCCTGTGATTGTGTCTGATGTTCATGATGGGAATGGGGATGATGTTCCTGATGGTGGTCTGATGGCCTGGGTCTGAGATAAGCTCAGATGAGAGGCCCGAGCTGTCTCAGGAAGATTCACAAGGCCACATTTTTGGGAGAAGCTCTTCACAGTCTTTCTCAGAGCAACTGGTCTGAAGATGATTTGTCAGGTGCAGAAGTTAATGAGAGTCAAGTTAATGAGAGTGTAGATAGAAGGCAAGGCTTTTGTAAATCAGAGACAGAGTGCTCAAGTGCAAATAAGATCGGTTTGTTTACAGGGGGGGAAAGAGATAAGGAACCTTTATTTGGTGGTAAGGTCAAGAGAAATGCTTTCCTATCAGTTTTGGGATCTGGAAAAGCCTTATATTGATTCATGGGAAAGAGTTGCCTCAGTTGGATCAACGCTGGAATTTCATGATGGTGTTGCTATCGAGTGTTCTTAGTTTCATGTACCAAGTTTTGCCAAGCTCCTGTTTTGTGTATTGGATTTTTCATGCTGCCTTGTTTCATGGACTGTTATTCCAATAGATCTTATTTTGCCTTGAAGCTCATGGACTATCCTTTGTTTTGGGAACTTTCCTGCTTTTGCTCATTTTACTGCTTTGCGTACATATATTCTTCAATAAACCGCTTGCTGGTTTTACCAGGCTGGTATGATGTTTAAAGTCAGAGGTGTTCCTGCCTTGGTGTTCGACAAGCAAACATCTATAGATCAGGCGTGGACAAACTTGGGCCCTCCAGGTGTTTGGGACTTCAACTCCCACAATTCCTAACAGTCGGTAGAAACATCAAAAATATCCCATTATAAAAACTATCAGAGACAGTTATAATATCGTGAAGGTCAGCAACTGTTTCATTTTCCTAAACAAGACATTCTGCAGTGCTGGTTTGTTTTGCCTCTTGTCTTCTGGTTTGATTTACAAAGAATCCACGCCATGCGTCAAAATAAACAAAGACTTTTGGAAATACACTTAGAGGGGCTACTTTGTTGTTAATGTTCTTCAAGATGTAGTTCAAAAGGGGGAGATAATAGTAGGGGGAAAGCTAGTCATGCAATGGGTTAGACCCTTGTGCCAGCAGGACTGTTGACTGAGAGGTCAGCAATTCAATTCCGGGGAGAGGAGGTTGAGCGCCCTCTGTCAGCGGAGATGACAGAAGCCTCCCACTAAGATGGTAGTACACCAAAACATCTGGGCGTCCCCTGGGCAACATCCTTGCAGACAGCCAATTCTCTCACACCAGAAGCGATAGATAATAAATAGATAGGTAGATATCAGGGCCTGATATTCTGTGCCAAGAAATAAGTGGATCTTCATCTGCTCACCTGCTGGGTAGTACGCCTGGGAGTACGGCACAGAGGCGGCAAAGCTGGTGTACTTCTGGGCAGCAGAGGCGGCGGCAGCCATGGCCTGGGTCCCTTGCTGGATGTGGACAGAGGTTGCGCTGGGCTGCAGGGTGTAGGTAACCTCAGTGGGGAAGCGCTGGAGGACGGAGAAGGGGACGGCCTTGTCCGGGAAGGCCGAGGCGTCCACCTGCCCCGGGAGCATCCCCAGCGAGCCTGGCCATGTCCGCGGAGGAAGCGGGCTCCGGTCGTTGCCTTTCAGTGAGTAGCCACTGGGACTGTGAGGCGAGGGTGAGAGGTAGGAGTACGGAGAGAGGCTGTCTCGGCGGAAGGAGCGGTGGAACTGGCCTAGAGTCAGCGGCACTGCAGGAGGGAAAAGAGCAGCACTGTCAGTCACTGGACATTACATAGGAGGCTTAATATCTAGTATGGGAAAGAAGGAAGGAGACTCCCAGATTGACATCAAAGGGTGTGCGAATGCCTGAATGTTTATTGTCAAGTTGTCCAAAACATACAGTAGGGTCTCGCTTATCCGACCTAAACAAGCTGGCAGAATGTCGGATAAACAAATATGTCGGATACTACCCTACCTTAGAAGCATTTAAAAAGAATCTCAAGACCTGGCTCTGCCGCTGCGCTTTTGGAGAGTAGCCACACAAGCTTTAGCTATTGCCTCCCTCAACATTTTGACCTAGGAGTACCCCCCTTGTACAAAGGTATGTTTATTACACTGTTTCTCTATGAGTTCCCCCATGCAAATAATCTCCTTTTATCTCACCCTGAGTTTTTAAACCATTTTATTGTACATGCGGCCTGCTCACTGTCATTATGTTGTTTATTGCTTTCTTATGCTTTGTGTATATTGCTTATTGTATTTATATGCTTTGTACTTTATTGCAACGTTGTTTACTTTATTGTAATCTGTATTGCATTTTATTGTAATTTGTTGTTTGGGCTTGGCCTCATGTGAGCCACCCTGAGTCCCCATTGGGGTTGATAGTGACGGGGTACAAATAAAGATTATTATTATTATTACTACTACTACTACAGAGTCTCCTACTATTACCCGTCCAATGCGCTGCAAAGAGTTAAAGCAAGGCAACGCCTCTGGGCTAGAAAGGCATGGAAGAACATGGAAGAGGAGCATGGAAATCACATAAGGAAGAAGAGAGGACGATTCTGCTTCTGGTTCTGCCTCTTTTCCCCCTTTCCTCCCTCTTCCTCCTCCTTGTCTTGCCTTTTTCGCTTATTGGGAACAGAGAGAGAGAAGAGGAGCACTCCTTTAATTGAAGGGGGAATGCTGGAGAAAAGGGGGGGCATCGGGATAAGAGCGTCAGTTAAGTGAAGGTCGGATAAGTGAGACTCTACAGTAAACGTAATAATGTATTTCTTATCCACCTCCCCTCATGGCAGGTTACAGTGTAATTAAAACGCATAAATATTGTAAAAATTCTGTAAAAAATAAAATATATCCTTGTAAAAGAAATAATTTAGAAACCATTACTTGTTAGTGGCTTGCTGGGAGTTTTTCAGGCTGTACAGCCATATTCTAGCAGCCCCAAAAACTCACAGCAACCTAGTGATTCTAGCCATGAAAACCTTCGACAAGACATTACATCAGGGATGGGGAATGGCACCTTTGGGTGTGTCTACACGGTTGAATGAATGCAGTTTGGGTCTGTTTTAACTGCCTGGCTCAACGCTATAGTATCCTGGAAGGAAGGAAGGAAGGAAGGAAGGAAGGAAGGAAGGAAGGAAGGAAGGAAGGAAGGAAGGAAGGAAGGAAGGAAGGAAGGAAGGAAGGAAGAAAAAAAAGGAAGGGGAAGGGAAGGGAAAATTCTGTGTACATCTACTTTAAGATTACAGAAGGAAACATTTGTCAGATCTGCATTTCCCTGCAAAAGTGTTTATTTCACTGGCCAAGGAAATGTTGTTGTTGTTGTTGTATCTCAGATGCAATATATATAAAAAGACCTAATACATTTGTATGAAGCATGGCAAAGAAGACTTGCAACCTGAAAATCTAGAATTGGAACAGAAGAAGAAAGCCGGTGGGATTCTGAGAAACACAAGAACGGGATGACAGTTTTTCACATCCTCGGTCAGAACTACTTGTAATTTGAGTTGTTCATAGCGATATGCTTAGTAAGCCCCTTGCTACAGGCTGAAAGAGGAATGTTTCCGCCTTTGAGGCAACAGATGCATAGCTGTGGTCCAAAAAGTCCTGCAAATTGCCATATATCCCAGATTTTGACATCGCATCATCCAGAAATTGAGGTAAGAGAAGGCTAAAGGGCATACAGTCTGAGTCACTGCAGATTGATTTTCAACCCTTCCTTCCCTGCTTTAAAACTTCTAATTTTTGAGAATTTTTCATGAAACTTTCTAACAATTGTACAACAATTTAAAGTATGTGTACACTAATGGGTTGGTGAATATAAAAACAATTGCTCACTATTTGCTTCACTTACAGCAGGAGTTCCCAACCTTTTTTTGATCAGGGAACATTTGACCAGAGACCACTTGACCAGGACCCACATGACCAGGACCACTTGACTAGGGTCCACTTTGACCAGGGACCATTTGACCAGGGTCCACTTCACCGAGGGACCACTTGACCAGGGACCACTTTGACCATGGTCCACTTTGACCAGAGATCACTTGACCAGGGTCCACTTGGACCAGGGACCACTTGACCAGGGACCACTTGAACAGGGTCCACTTTGATCAGGGACCATTTGACCAGGGTCCACTTCACCGAGTGACCACTTGACCAGGGACCACTTTGACCAGGGTCCACTTTGACCAGAGATCACTTGACCGGGGTCCACTTGGACCAGGGACCACTTTGACCAGGGTCCACTTTGACGAGCGACCAGTTGGACCAAGGACCGCTTGGACCAGGGACCACTTGGACCAGGGTAAGAAATACAATTATTATTATGATTACAGAAGAGCCTCGCTTATCCAACCTTCACTTATCCGACATTCTGTTTTATCCGATGCCCCCTTTTCCTCCAGCATTTCCCCTTCAGTTAAAGGAGCACTCCCCAACTCTCTTTCCATCCCTAATAAGTGAAAAAGGCAAGATAAAGAGGAGGAGGAGGGAGGAAAGATGGAGAAGCGGCAGGACCGGAAGAGGAAGTGTCCTTACTCCTTCCCTCTGTGATTTCCACCCTCCTCTTCCGCATCCGGGCACTTCCTGCTGGGCTCTCTAGCCTTGCCTTAACCCTTTGAGTCCCTGTTGTTAGTATTCTAGGTATCTAGCATCACATTGGACGGGTAACAGGAGGAGACTCTGTATTATCCAACATTTCAGTTGATCCGACGTTCTGCCGTCCCGTTTATTTTGGATCAACGAGACACTACTGGATGTGGATAGTCAGGTAGACTGACCTATGGTTGGACCAGATGGCCCTTGAGGTTCCTTCCAACTCAGTGATTCTGTATCCTAGATGAGCCTTTCCATTCATAACAGTTGGAGACTCCGTATTATCCGACATTTTCGTTTATCCAACATTCTGCCAGCACATTTATGTCGGATAAGTGGGACTCGACTATGTGGATAGTCAGATAGGCAGACATAGGGTTGGACTGGATGGCCCTTAAGGTCTCTTCCAACTCAGTGATTCTATTATCCTAGATGAGCCCTTCCATTCATAACAGTCTGAGACTCCGTATTATCCGACATTTTCATTTATCCGGTGTTCTACCGGCACGTTTATGTCAGATAAGTGAGACTCTACTCTACTCTACTCTATCTATCTATCTATCTATCTATCTATCTATCTATCTATCTATCTGCTCAGTCTCTCAACTATTTAGGAATGCATTTAGAGGACAAAGGAGAGCGACTCTTATGCAAATCTTAGGAAAATTACTTTTTTAGACTCCTATCCTCAGCATCTCTGTACTTTTGCACAGAATTTGTTCAACAATTGTTCACTGTCGCCTGTACTGAGTATGATTTGACTCTGTTTTATAGGAAAAGGCGGTTTTCAGTGTCTCATTTTGAACCCCTGGCGTTCTATGGAAGGAGACACAGAGCGAAGTATTTGAAATGCATGAGCCTCTCCCAATGAATTCGTCTATCTGTTCCCAATTTTCGAGTCTTTAGAAACAGGCATCCGGGGTGAGAGGGATAAAGGAGGATGTGTTTAAATCAAGGCCGCTTGCAGGGGAGCTGGTATCTCTTTTGGAAAAGTGATATCAGGAAAATGAAAAGAATTTGGCAGGTTTTAAGGGGAACAGTCCAAAGACGAGGATTAAAAATATCAGCACTGGAGGATACGTAGAATCGACAGCGAGGGGGGTGTTGATGTCGAGAAAAAGGTGAAATGCTTGGGTTACAGTGATATCAATGAGTCCCAAAATTGGGAGAAAAGTGGGATTCAAAATAAATATTGTCATCTCAAATTATTTAAGCAAAGGTTCGGAAAGAAACAAGAAAATATTGGCACAAGTGGGGGAAATTAAAGCTGTCACCAGTGGGAAGATTCTTGGTACTACGAGAATCCAGTTTTTGGTTGATTTGGTCCAGACTTTGTCCATTTTGACCAACGGTGAGCCATTTAAACAAGGTGTTGTCGAAGGCTTTCATGGCTGGAATCACTGGGTTGTTGTGAGTTTTCCGGGCTGTCTGGCCATGTTCCAGAAGCATTATCTCCTGACGTTTCACCCACATCTAAGGCAGGTATCCTCAGAGGTTGTGAGGTCTGTTGGAAACTAGGTAAGTGGGGTTTATATATCTATTGATGGTCCAGGGTGGGAGAAAGAACTCTTGTCTGTTGGAGGCAAGTGCTAATGTTGCAATTGGCCACCTTGATTAGCATTGAATGGACTTGCAGCTTCAAAGCCTGACTGGTTGCTGCCTGGGCAATGTTGTCTGCTTGTGGCAAGTGTGAATGTTGTGGGGGGGGGGCTTGATTAGCATCGAATGGCCTTACAGTTTCAAAGCCTGGCTACTTCCTGCCTGGGCGAATCCTTTGTTGGGAGGCATTAGCTGGCCCTGATTTTTTCCTGTCTGGAATTGCTGTTTTCTGAGTGTTCCTCTTTCTTTACAGTCCTGATTTTAGAACCAACGAGGGYCACCTAATACCTCCCAACAAAGGATTCCCCCAGGCAGGAAGCAACCAGGCTTTGAAGCTGCAAGGCCATTCAGTGCTAATCAAGGTGGTGAATGGCAATATCCACACTTGCCTCCAACAGACAAAGAGTTCTTTCTCCCACCCTGGACATCATTCCACAGGGATATATTTAAACCCCACTTGCCTAGTTTCCAACAGATCTCACCCCCCATGTTTTGGACTCCAACTCCCATAATTCCTAACAGCCTGCCGTTGACATCGTATATAGCGGGCATGGGCCAACTTGGGCCCTCCCTCCAGGTGTTTTGGACTGCGACTCCCACAATTCCTACCAGCCTACTGGCTATTAGGAATTGTGGGAGTTGAAGTCCAAAACACCTGGAGGGAGGGCCCAAGTTGGCCCATGCCTGCTATATACAATGTCAACGTTTTAAAAACAATGAAYAACCTGGAGAGCACAGCAGAGGGCGCACTCGAATGGGAATCTTGGATTCCTCAGCCAAAACTACAGCTCCCAGCAACCTCCGAATAAAGCCTGCAGGAGCCTGGGGGGAAAGAGATGGGCCTGGTGTTGTTTTGGCCATTGGCTTCTCTTCTGGCTTGGCCGGGTTCCGGTGCGGCCTCCTTTCCAAAACCCATAATTTCAGCTTTATTTTTAAACCCCGCCGGGAAGGGAAGGAAGGGCGAGGATGTGATGTCATGTCTGCAAACCAAGTATTTTTCCCCCCTTGCTTTTTTGAGAGGCCCGAGGGCAAGGAAGGAGCCTTCAGGGATCTTGATATTTGATAGGTAGCAAAGACATCGATCAAATGCGACACTCTTCTACTAAACTATAGCTCCAGATCCCCTAATGTTGTATGCGCCTCCTTATTTAAAGGACTTGCAGAATTACATTATATGACACTTTGGTTTTCAGGCTTTGAAGCTACAAGAGCCTTGGGGCGAAACCCAGGCATGATATTTTGGACTCTAACTCCTACAATTCCTAACAGCCTACCAGCGATAACCCATTTGCTACCTCCTTTTGGGGTTAAGTGGCACCCTGCACATGCCCCTGTGCCTTGAGGTGACTCCTTTGGGTCCCTGCTTCTCTCTGCACATGCTCCTGAGCCTTGGGGTGACTCCTTTGGGTTGCTTTTGGATACAGTGGCACTCTGCATATGTTCAGGATCACCCTTGAACCCATTTACTGCTTCATTTGAGGCCCAGTAGCACTCTGCACATGTCCCTGAGCCTTGGGGCGACGCCTTTTGGGTAGCTTTTGGATACAGTGGCCCCTTTGCACATGCTCAGGGTCACTTCCTGAAGCTTCTGATCCCTTTGGGTGCTTTTTGGGCCTGTTGACACTCTGCACATGACCCTGAGCCTTGGGGTGACTCTTTTGGATTGCTTTTGGATACAGTTGCCCCTATGCACATGCTCAGAATCAAGTGGCCCTCTGCACATGCTCAGGGTGAGCCTTTGGACACCCCCCCCCCCTTGAGTGCCTTTTGGGCCTGGTGGTACTCTGCACATGCCCCTGAGCCTTGGGGTGACTCCTTTGGGTTGCTTTTGGATACAGTTGCCCCTGTGAACATGCTCAGAGTCAAGTGAGCCTTTGGACACCCCCTTTGGGCCTGGTGGCACTTTGCACATGCCCTTGAACCTTTGGGTGACTCCTTTGGGTTGCTTTTGGATACAGTGGCTCTGTGCACATGCTCAAGGTCAAGTGGCTCCCTGCACATGCTTTTGGGTCAAGTGACCTTCTGCACATGCTTGGGGTTAGCCTTTGGACACCCCCTTTGAATGTTTTGGGCCTGGTGGCACTCTGCACATGCCCCTGAAACTTTGGGTGACTCCTTTGGGTTGCTTTTGCATACAGTGGCTCTGTGCACATGCTCAGGGTCATGTGGCTCCCTGCACATGCTTTTGGGCAAAGTGGTCCTCTGCACATGCTCGGGGTAGGCCTTTGGACACCTCCTTTGGGCCTGAACCTTTGTGCGATTCCTTTGGGTTGCTTTTGGATACAGTGGCCCTGTGCACATGCTCAAGGTCAAGTGGCACTCTGCACATGCTCAGGGTGAGCCTTTGGACACCCCCTTTGGGCCTGGTGGCTCTCTGCACATGCCTCTGAACCTTTGGGCGACTCCTTTGGATTGCTTTTGGATACAGTGGCCCTGTGCACATGCTCAAGGTCAAGTGGCATTCTGCACATGATCAGGGTAAGCCTTTGGACACCCCATTTTGGTGCCTTTTGGGCCTGGTGGCACTGCACATGCCCCTGAACCTTTGGATGACTCCTTCAAGTTGCTTGTGGATACAACGGCACTTTACACATGCGCCTGGGCCTTGGGACAATTCCTTTGGGTTGCTTTTGCATACAGTGGCTGTGTGCACATGCTCAAGATCAAATGGCCCTGTGTACATCCTCGGGGTGAGCCTTTGGACACTCCTTTTGGGCCTGGTGGCACATGCCCCTGAACTTTTGGGTACTTCCTTTGGATTGCTTTTGGTTACAGTGTGCAAATGCTTTTGGGCCAAGTGGTGCTCTGCACATGCTCAGGGTGAGCCTTTGGACAGCTCCTTTGGGCCTAATGGCACTCTGCACATGCCCCTGAACCTTTGTGTGACTCATTTGGGTTGCTTTTGGATACAGTGGCCCTGTGCACATGCTCAGGATCAAGTGGCCCTCTGTGCATGCTCGAGGTGACCCTTTGGACCCTCCCTTTGGGCACATGCCCCTGGACCTTTGTGCGACTCCTTTGGGATGCTATTGGATACAGTGGCCTTTTGGACATGCTCAGGATCATGTGGCCCTGTGTACATGCTCGGGGTGACCCTTTGGACACCCCCTCTGGGCCTGGTGGCACTCTGCACATGCCCCTGAACCTTTATGTGATTCCTTTGGGATGCTTTTGGATACAGTAGCCTTTTGCACAGGCTCAGGATCAAGAGGCCCTATGTACATGCTCGGGGTTAGCCTTTCGGCACTCCTTTTGGGCCTGGTGGCACTCTGCACACGCCCCTGAACCTTTGTGCAACTCCTTTTGGGGTTGCTTTTGGATACACAGTGTGCACATGCTTTTGGGCCAAGTGGCGCTCTGCATATGCTCAGGGCGAGCCTTTGGTCACCCCCTTTGGGCCTGGTGACACTCTGCACATGTCCCTGAACCTTTGTGTGACTCCTTTGGGATGCTTTTGGACACGGTGGCTCTGTGCACATGCTCAGGATCATGTGGCCCTGTGTACATGCTCGGGTGACCCTTTGGACATCCTCTCTGGGCCTGGTGGCACTCTGTACATGCCCCTGAACCTTTGTGTGACTCCTTTTGGGTTGCTTTTGGATACAGAGTGTGCACATGCTTTTGGGCCAAGTGGCACTCTGCACATGCTCAGAGTGAGCCTTTGGACACTCTGCACATGCCCCTGAACCTTTGTGTGACTCCTTTGTGTTGCTTTTGGATACACAGTGTGCACATGCTTTGGAGTCAAGTGGCACTCTGCATATGCCCCTGAACCTTTGTGCAACTCCTTTTGGCATTGCTTTTGGATACACAGTGTGCACATGCTTTTGGCCCAAGTGGTACTCGGCACATGCTCAGAGTGAGCCTTTGGACACTCTGCACATGCCCCTGAACCTTTGTGTGACTCCTTTTGGGGTTGCTTTTGGATACGCAGTGTGCACATGCTTTTGGACCAAGTGGTGCTCTGCACATGCTCAGGGTGACCCTTTGGACACCCTCTCTGGGCTTGGTGGCACTCTGCACATGCCCCTGAACCTTTGTCTGATTCCTTTGGGTTGCTTTTGGATACACAGTGTGCACATGCTCGGGGGGGCTTTGGACACCCCCTTTGGGCCTGGTGACACTCTGCACATGCCCCTGAACCTTTGTGTAATTCCTTTGGGATGCTTTTGGATACAGTGGCCTTTTGCACATGCTCAGGATTGTGTGGTCCTTTGCACATGCTCAGGGTGACCCTTTGGACACCCTCTCTGGGCCTGGTGGCACTCTGCACGTGCCCCTGAACCTTTGTGTGACTCCTTTTGGGGTTGCTTTCGGATACAGTGTGCACATGCTTTGGGGCCAAGTGGCACTCTGCACATGCTCAGCGTGAGCCTTTGGACACCCTCTCTGGGCCTGGTGGCACTCTGCACATGCCCCTGAACCTTTGTGTGACTCCTTTTGGGGTTGCTTTCGGATACAGTGTGCACATGCTTTTGGGCCAAGTAGCGCTCTGCACATGCTCAGGGTGAGCCTTTGGACACTCTGCACATGCCCCTGAACCTTTGTGTAATTCCTTTGGGATGCTTTTGGATACAGTGGCCTTTTGCACATGCTCAGGATTGTGTGGTCCTTTGCACATGCTCAGGGTGACCCTTTGGACACCCTCTCTGGGCCTGGTGGCACTCTGCACGTGCCCCTGAACCTTTGTGTGACTCCTTTTGGCATTGCTTTTGGATACACAGTGTGCAAATGCTTTCGGGCCAAGTGGCACTCTGCACATGCTCAGGGTGAGCCTTTGGTCACCCCCTTTGGATCTGGTGGCACTCTGCACATGCCCCTGAACCTTTGTGTGATTCCTTTTGGGTTGCTTTTGGATACAGTGGCCCTGTGCACATGCTCAAGATAAAGTGGCACTCTGCACATGCCCCTGAACCTTTGTGTGACTCCTTTTGGGGTTGCCTTTGGATACACAGTGTGCACATGCTTTGGGGCCAAGTGGCACTCCCTGGAGCTTCCTTGGGGTGCCTTTGTGGGCCCGGCGGCGCTCTGCACATGGCCCGGAGCCTCACCGGCCTTGGCGCCTCCTCCGCCTCCTTCTCCTCCCTTTCCGGCCTGGCCTGCGGGGCTGTGGTTCCCTGCTCCTCCTCCTCCTCCTCCGTGCTGCTGGGGGGCGAGGAGGCCTTCCCCGCCGGGCTGCTGTAGTGGTGGCTGTTGCTGCTGCTGGTGGTGGTGCTGGTGGTGCTGCTGGAGGGAGGTGCTGAGGAGGCGCTGGAAGCGGTTGGGCGGCCTGCTGGTGACTTCCAGCCCGGCGGCCAGCTTGGCCTTGTTGGCGCTGGTGAGGCGCTTGAGGTGGACCAGCAGGTCGGGCCTGTCGCGGCGGAAGTGCGGGCTGTGGAAGTGGTGCAGGGGGCCCCCGCCAGGCGAGGCCGAGGCTCCGGAGGGCGAGCAGGCCGCGGAGGCGTTGCTGTGAGGCGCGCCCGCTCCTCCTCCTCCTGCTCCGCCTCCGCCTCCTCCTCCTGCGGGCGGGCCCAGCACCACCTTCCGGAAGCCGTACAAATTGAGCTGCCGGATGAAGCTGGTGAAATTGGTGGTCTTGAAGAGCTCCGGGGAGGAGGCCGCGGGGGGAGCCGGGGGAGGAGGAGCCGCAGAAGGAGCTCCGTCCCCGCTGCCGTTGTTGCCCCCTCCGCCCCCTCCGAGGAGCTCTGCCTCGAAGAGCGGCTGGTCGATGAGCAGGCCTTCTCCGCGGGCGTCCCAGCGGATGGAGCGGAACCGCGGGCTGTTCACCAGGCGCCATAGCTTGGCCGGGAAGTTGTTGGGGTTGATGGGGGACGAGGAGGGCGACGGCGAGGACGAGGAGGGCGACGGAGGGGGCGCCGCCGCCGCCGCCGAGAGGAGCGGGTCCTCCATCACTGCGGCCTCTCCCTCCCTCGCTCGCTCGCTCGCTCCCACGCTTCGATTCCAGCCGCCTTCGCGGGCCCAACCGGCCGCCAACGGACGCAGACGTCAATCACCGCCCGCGAGGCCTAACCCCGCGCGCGCTCTGAGGGGAATCAAGCCTCGCTTGCCTTGGAGTAGGCCTCACTTTCGAAGGGGAATGCGCTAGGCCTCACTCTCCTTGAAGGCTTCACTTTCTAAAGGGAATAAGCTAGGCCTCACTTTCCTGAGGGAATATAGACTCTTTTTCCTTCGAGGAGGCTTCACTTTCACAAGGGAATAAGATAAGCCTTGCTTTCCTTGGAGTAGGTTTCACTTTCAAAAGGGAATAAGCTAGGCCTCACTTTCCTGAGGGAATAGACACCCTTTCCTTCAAAGAGGCTTCACTTTCAAAGGGGAATATGCTAGGCCTCACTCTCCTTGAAGGCTTCACTTTCTAAAGGGAATAAGCTAGGCCTCACTTTCCTGAGGGAATATAGACGCCTTTTCCTTCGAGGAGGCTTCGCTTTTGAAAGGGAATACGTTAGGCCTCACTTTCTGAGTGGAATACTCTCTTTCCTTGGAGTAGGTTTCACTTTCCCAAGGGAATAAGCTAGGCCTCAGCTTCTGAGGGAATATAGACTCCCTTTCCTTCAAGGAGGCTTCACTTTTGAAAGGGAATACGCTAGGCCTCACTTTCTGAGTAGAATACTCTCTTTCCTTGGAGTAGGTTTCACTTTTGCAAGGGAATAAGCTAGGCCTCGGCTTCTCAGGGAATATAGACTCCCTTTCCTTCAACGAGGCTTCACTTTCAAAAGGGAATAAGCTAGGCCTCACCACTTTCTAAGTGGAATGCAACCTCCATTCCTTGGAGTAGGTTTCACTTTCGCAAGGGAATACACTAGGCCTCTCTGAGTGGAATACTCCCTTTCCTTGGAGTAGGTTTCACTTTCCAAAGGGAATAAGATAGGCCTTGCTTTCCTGAGTCCGGAGCCCCCGGTGGCGCAGTGGGTTAAACCCCTGTGGCAGCATGACTGAAGACCAACAAGTCGCAGGTTCGAATCCAGGGAGAGGCGGATGAGCTCCCTCTATCAGCTCCAGCTCCTCATGCGGGGACATGAGAGAAGCCTCCCACAAGGATGATAAAAATATCAAATCATCCGGGCGTCCCCTGGGCAACGTCCTTGCAGACAGCCAATTCTCTCACAACAGAAGCGACTTGCAGTTTCTCAAGTCGCTGCTGACACGACCAAAAACTTTCTGAGGAGAATAAAGTCTTTCCTTGGAGTAGGTTTCGCTTTCCAAAGGAGATCAGCTAGGCCTTGCTTTCTGAGGGAATACAGCCTTCCATTCCCTGGAGGTTTCACTTTCGAAAGGGAATAAGATAGGCCTCGCTTTCCTGCGGGAATATAGACTCCCTTTCCTTCAACAAGGCTTCACTTTCGAAAGGGAATAAGTTAGGCCTCACTTTCCTTGGAGTAGGTTTCACTTTTGAAAGGAGATCAGCTAGGCCTCACTTTCTGAGGGAATGTAGGCTCCCTTTCTTTCAAGGAGGCTTCACTTTCGAAAGGGAAGAAGATAGGCCTCACTTTGCTGAGGGAATATAGACTTCCTTGGAGTAGGTTTCACTTTCAAAAGGCAATAAGCTAGGCCTCGCTTTCTGGGGGAATATAGACTTCCTTTCCTTCGAGGTTTCACTTTCAAAAGGGAATACGCTAGGCCTCACTTTCCGAGGGGAATAAAGTTTCTCTTTCCTTGGAGTAGGCTTACATTTCGAAGGGGAACAAACTAGGCCTCACTTTCTGAAGAAATGTGGACTCCCATGGAGTAGGCTTCACTTTCAAAGGGGAAATAAAACTTTCGAAGGGAAATACAGCCTCTCTTTCCTCGATAAGCGTAACTCTTGAAAGGGAATAAGCTAGGCCTCATTTTTGAAAGGGAACACAGCCTCCCTTTCTTTGGAGTAAGCTTCACTTTCCACGGGGAAAAAATCCAGGTCTCACTTTCACTTTCAAAGGGGAATAAACTAGGTCTCTATGAATAAAGCTTCCGTTTCTTTGGCGTAGGCCTCACTTGAAGGGGACTAAACTAGGCTACACTTTCACTTTTGTGAAGGAATAAACTAGGCCGTGCCTTCCATGAAGTAGGCCTCACTTTCAGAGGGGAATAAACTAGGCCTCCCTTTTGAAGGTGAATACAGCCTCACTTTCTTTGGTGTAGACGTCACTTCCTTAAGGGAATAAACTAGGCCTCACTTTGTGAATAAAGCTTCCGTTTCCCTGGAGTAGGCTTCACTTTCGAAGGGGAATAAATTGGGTCTCACTGCAAATGCAGGCATAATGTCAGGAGAAAATGCTGCTAGAAAAACAGCTATGTAGCCCGTAAACCACACAACAGCCCAGAGCACCAAAACACGAAGTTACAACCTATACTCAGAAAAAGTAGAAAAGACCCTTCAAAGTCAAATAACACGGCCCAACAAAGCAGCACTAATATAGAGATTTTATTCCACTGTATTGAATTTCTTACAGCACATTGTTTTGTCACAAAGCTACTGATCTCATTTTGGAGTCGTTGGGTTGTCATTTCTTTTTTTCTTCTTTCCCCGTTTCGTTTCGCTTGAAAGACGAGAGACACGGATTCATGAGCGCCAAAAAGTAGCTTGGATCTCACCGCGGCCAACTTCCGAGGGGCCCTTCCTGCTCTCGATTCCTCCCTTGCGTTTTAACATCTGTGCAAAATGAGCTGGAAAATGGAACCAAGTCCAAACTCTCCTCCTTACTTAACATCCCTTTATTATACAAAGTTCAAAGTATGGCCCATTCTTTTGTGTATTTTTTTAAATCACTGAAAAGTTTCCTCTTTCATTCGCCTTCCCCAAAAGTGGTCACAAAATACCATTCGGGAGATCCAACGCTGAAAAAAAGGCTTCAAGAAGTGTTGAAGCTCAAATGGATGAATTAATGATTCATCACTTCGTGTTTGTTTGTAAATTAAGCAGCTTAAAGAAGGAATTTTCCAGCATAAATTCATTCCAGAAGTCAAATTCTTTTTTGAGATGAGATGTTTTGGGGAGACTTCCTTTGGCCTTTTTGTGGTTTTGTCTATTTTTTTTCCTTTCTACCGAGAATAAAAGCAATTGCGAAATGGCTCGTGGAGAGAAGCAGAAATGTCAACTGCATTCCAAGTCTTAATGCGGAGGAGACATGCAGCCTTTCAGATGCAGGGCCACAACTCGCATCAGCCATCACCAAACAACAACATGGCAAGAGATGATAAGAGGTGTGGCCCAGTCCCATTTGAAGGCCACTCGCTCACTATCGCACGAACCAGAAGGCATTCCTCCCGGGCAGCTTATTGACATGTTGGAATGGACTGGAAAGCGTTCTTTTTGGGCATTGGTGGATTATGATCTGAGTTGTCCTTTGCACCTGCTTTACCAGGGCCCCTTCGCTCTCAAAAAACATGGCACCCCCTTCCTTTCTTTCATTTCTCTAAGTGCAGAAGGAAATAACATTAGCAGCAGTTTGGACTGGAAACCCTCAAGCACACATAAAAGAGCACATTCCGGGAGATCTAGAAATCCCGCAAAAGTCTGCCCTCGGGATAGAAACGCAACCCAAAAGAAGGAGAGACACAAGTGCGGCAAGAGGGGATCGAGGCATCTCCCCCCCGGGAAGAGAACCAAGGGGAAAACCCGTTGCTTGATATATAACCACAGCAGACGAGACAGGAAGCAAGTCCAAACCAAACACTGCTTTCAACAGAGTCTATTCCCAGGCAGGGATCTGCAGAGATCTCGTTTTGATTGACTGATTGATGCCAATCAATCAAATCCCTCGCCCTCTTGTCCATGCGCAATTCAACCTTCCTGCCATTGAAAGATGGGGAAGGAAAGGTTTGGATTCCAACTGAGCTGAAACGCAACTTGGCTGACTTCTTTTCTGTGCAAGATGAGCTGGAAATGGAACCCCTTTGGAAAGTCTCCTCCTACTGACATCCCTTTATACAAAGTTCAGAGTACAGACAATTCAGAGATCCCGCCGCTGACTAAGACCAAGCTTTCCCCCCACCCAGAAAAAGATAACAGTGTCAAAAGATGGATTTAGGCCAACCCTCTGAAGGAAAAACACAACCGGTCTCCGATGGAGCCCCTTGGGCGTTTGGACCACCACCAACAGTACCACAGCGCGGGCCGTATCGCATGTTTTTAATCCAGTTTCCAATACACGACGGGGTTCGGGGGTGGTTGGGAGAGAAACGGCCGACAAGTGCCTGTGTGGCTTGGTGACCAAGTGCTGCGCTAACCGACCTCCTGGGCTGCCACAGAAGCAGCCTTCTCCTCTTGCTCCTGCTCCTCCTCCTTCCAGTCTGCCAAAAGTGAGGGGAAAGGCCCGGCTGGGCTCGCTCGGCTTTCATTCAGCCTTCAGCTGGATGCCGTGGCGATGGGCTTCTTCAAGTGCTGGCTCATCAGCTCCCGGGCGCGGGAGACCTGGATGTGGTCATAGCAGGAGTTGCAGACCAGGACCGGGTCGTAGAGCTGCTGGTCTGGAATGGGCAGCTTGAGGTGGCAGCAGCCGGCACAGAAGACGTTCCCACAGTTCCTGCAGGGAAAGGAATGAAGACAGCAGGTATGACACACTGAGGTGGAAGTGATTTGAAAGAGGTGGCTAAACTAAGTCCATAGGGTACATATTAAAGGGGGCTAGGCGTCTCAGTAGCTCTACAGTGTGGCTCTAGAGCAGGCATAGGCCAACTTTGGTCCTTCAGGTTTTTGGACTACAACTCCCACAATTCCTAACAGCCAGTAGACTGGCTGGGATTTCTGGGAGTTGTATGCCACAACACATGGGGACCCACAGGTTGAGAACCAYTGTCAATAGTCCTACACTATTCTGCTGGCCTCATCTAGAATCATTTTGTGTCYAGTTCTGGGCAAAGCAATTCAAGAAGGATGTGAGCCAGATGGATAGTGTCCAGAGAAGGGAGACTAAAATGGGCTGTCAGGACCCCTGGGGGGGG